ACGTGCTGTAGGTGACCCTGCTCTGGCAGGAGGGTTGGACTAGATGATCTCCAGAGGTCCCTTCCAACCCTAACAATTCTGTGAATTCTGTGAATTCTGTGAACAGGCAAGGAGAAGTCTGAGGTACTCCACAACTTTTTTCCCCAGTCTTCACTGGCAATCTTTCTTCCTACACCTCTTGAGTGGATGGACTGCAAGGCAGGGACTGGTGGAGCAAAATTCCTCCCGCTGTAAGAGGAAATCAGGTTCATGACCACCTGAGGAACCTGAACATACCTAAGTCTATAGGACCTGACAAGATGCATCCCAGAGTCCTGAGGGAATGAGCAGATGTAGTTGCCAAGCCATTCTCCATGATATTAGAAAAGTCATGGCAGTCAGGTGAAGACCCCGGTGACTGGGCCCATTTTTAAAAAGGGTGGAAGGGAGGACCCTGGGAACTATTGACGTTTCAGCCTCACCTCTGTGTCCGGGAAGATCATGGAACAGATATTCCTAGAAGCTATGCTAAGGCCCATGGAGGACAGGGAGGTGATTTGAGACAGCCAGCATGGCTTCACCAAGGGCAAGTCCTGCCTGATGAACTTAGTGGCCTTCTATGGTGGAGTGACTACATCAGTGGACAAGGGAAGAGCTATGGATGTCGTCTATCTGGACTTCTCTAAGGCCTTTGACATGGTCCCCCACAACATCCTTCTCTCTAAATTGGAGAGATGTGGATTTGATGGGTGGGTGGTTTGGTGGATGAGGAATTGGTTGAATGGTTGCATCCAGAAGGTAGTGGTCAATGACTCGGTGTCCAGGTAGAGATCGGTGACAAGTGGTGTCCTTCAGGGATCTGTATTGGGACCAGTACTGTTCAATATCTTCATCAGTGAAATAGACAGTTGGGATCAAGTGCACCCTCAGCAAGTTTGCAGATGACACCAGGCTGAATGGTGTGGTCGACACACCTGACAGACAGAGTGCCATCCAGAGGGACCTGGACAAGCTTGAAAAGTGGTCCTATGTGAACCTCATGAGGTTCAACAAGGCCAAGTGCAAGGTCCTGCACCTGGGTCAGGGCAACCCCTGGTATCAATACAGGCTGGGGGGTAAAGGGGTTGAGAGTAGACCTGCCGAGAAGGACTTGGGGGTGTTGGTTGATGATAAGTTCAACATGAGCTGGCAATGTGTGCTTGCAGCCCAGAAGGCCAACTGCATCCTAGGCTGTATCAAAAGAATTGTGGCCAGTAGGTCAAGGGAGGTGATTGTCCCCCTCTACTCCATTCCTGTGAGACCCCACCTGGAGTACTGTGTCCAGCTTTGTTCCTCAGCACAGGAAAGACATGGACCTGTTGGAGAGGGTCCAGAGGAGGGCCACGAAGATCATCACAGGGCTGGAGCACCTCTCCTATGAAGATAGGCTGAGAGAGTTGGGGGTTGTTCAGCGTGGAGAAGAGAAGACTCTGGGGAGACCTTATTGCGGCCTTTCAGTACTTAAAGGGGACTTACGAGAAAGATGGGGACAAATTTTAGCAGGGCCTGTTGTGAATAGGACAAGGGGTAATAGTTTTAAACTAAAAGAAGGTAGATTTAGACTAGATACAAGGAAGAAATTTTTTACAATGAGGGTGGTGAAACATTGGAAGAGGCTGCCCAGAGAGGTGGTAGATGCCTCATCCCTGGAAACATTCAAGTTCAGGTTGGATGGGGCTCTGAGTAATCTGCTCTAGTTAAAGATGTCCCTGCTTATTGCAGGGGGGTTGGACTAGCTGACCTTTAAAGGTCCCTTCCAACCCAAATTATTCTATGACTCTATGAATCAGGAAAACCAGTTCTTAATTGTTTTCTTAGTTATCATTCTTAATGTAATTATAATGAATTACAGGACTTTAAAAGAGGAAAAGTAGGGAAAGCATCTCCTAAATACATGATTTTTGAAGGTGATCCAAAGTGTTGAAAGGAAAGAGAATATTTGTCACATTGAGTGTTAGGAAATACATCCCATCATATTCTACTCAGTCAAGTGGAGTCAGCATCACCTTCTGAGGTGCTTTTACCTGTAGATGGTAATCTACTATTACATATTGTTTAAGACCTTATTGGTTGCTTTGCACTTCAAAGATAAAATGAAGTTCTGACAAAAGACTGTATGGGCAAAAGAAGTCTTCAAAAAGATAAATTTAAACAGTTCAACAAAATACTGTTTTTTCTTTCCATTTTCTTTGAATCAAATTTGTTCCTTACTGTTATTGCATCTAGGGAACACCAGGAATTCAAGTCTTTAAAGAAAATTGCTCAAAAGCAGGACTTTAAAATGCTTACAGTTTCTTCCTATCTAATAACGTAACTTGTATAGAAATATGGATTATTTAAAGTGCTGTCCTCTATTTCTCTGCGGAAGATAAATCTTGAATGTCTGCTCAAGAAATTGAATTCTTCAGATAAATGTTACGGAAGATTTTTAAACGGGATGTATTTCTTCACAAAAATTGGAAGTCTGTACCAAAGAATACAAATTCTGATAAACTGCTTGACTGAGTTCTCTTGACTCTCCCAAGTATACGTACCCTTTTACTAAAGGAGTAATAGATAAATATATGGTATGGGATTACAGGTTGTTCAAGTATAAACTTGAAACATACTGACAATAGTTTTCTGATAGTTACTTCTCATTGATTATTCTTTTTATGTAGTCTATATCTTTTTGTCATGTGCGTGTCACCAACCAAAAAGAAAAAAATCTAGCATATTCCGCATTAGTTTTAGCTAAACTTTCTTAAACTTGGCTAAAACAGGCTGAGCTGTCTAGCTGGAACACCTTGATTCTTATCCCTTTTGTTAGCCACTGTTTTGCTTAAGACACTTCTCATTTTGAAAGACCTGATGAGCCAGAACGAAGCCCTGGTCAAACACTACTGCCTGGTTGTTCCTTGGCACAGTTGCAGAATTTTATTTGCCCTGGAGCCTCCATCCGATATCCTCCTGCTTTTCCTCACTGCAATTCTTAAAGCTTTTCTTAATCTTTTTAATGTCTTTCCTTATTGCATCTGAATCATAGGAGGTAACTGCTTAGATTTGTGAAAAGACAGGACCAAACCACTTGTCTTAAGTAGTGTGGCTGCACAGACCATTTTGTAGGCCTCAGCTTTGTCCTCATTTCCAAAGGCTATTCTCCATCCCTTCACTGACAATTGATTAATTTAGGCTTTTCTGTGTGCTGTCCTTCTACATTGAAGAATCTCTCTGTCAAAAAAAACCCAAAACAAAACAAAACAAACAACAAAAAAACCCCAACTTTAGATCCTTGTAAAATTCAAATACTGAAGCAACCTGGACCTTCTTATATAAGCTTTTCCACAGAAAAGTTTGTATTACTATATGTTAAGTGCTAGTTTGCTGGAGACCCAGGATTCCTGCTTTTGCCTAGAACAAAGAACCCCTAATTTATATATTTTATTTTTTTTTAATCTTTCCTGAGCTGCCACCATGGTGAGACTCAGGCCATTGAGCCTGTCTCAGATCCACGCGTTATAAAAGTTCAGTATATGATGTTAATACAGTGATGGTCACTTCTTTGTTGCTTGTGTTGAAATTTATAAAGGAAGACAATCTTGTACTCTGTAAAACCACAAGAAATCCCAGTCTTCATTAGTTTCCCAATTACTGCTGGAAAGACTGTATTTGAGGTATACCTTTAAGAAAGTAAAGTATGTTGTGGGGTTGTTTTACATGTTTAATCAATTTTTGTTAGATTCTTTTAATGATTAACGTTCTTAATTGTTCTAACTTCAAGAAGCATGTTAGTCTTACCATGGACTTGTGTTTTACTGATTTTGGAAGTTACAAACATGTATCACTTAAGATTGTTTTTGCAGAGAATCATTTTCTCTTTTATTTAGTTCACAAGAGACTAGAAAGGAGTTTTGACATATGTATTCTTTGCTAATCCTCGAAACAGCTGCAAGTATGAACACATTTGCTCTCTTCTCTTTTATCCCAAGTCAGTATCTAATGCCACCAAAACTAAAATTTGAGGACTGATAATGCATCTAGAGCATAAAACCGTTTGTAAAGCTATGAATTTCACGGTGAATGAATGCATCCTCTTTAAACTCAAGTGCGAGGCATCTCCTTTGGGAGGAATACTTCAGTGCTTGTGTAATAAATGTTATCGGTGTAATTATTTTTCAAAATAATGAATGTCGTTTTCCAAAAATGTTTTCTTGGTGATACTACAGGTTGCTAGATATCTTGTCAGTTCCTTCCGTTTCGGATTTTTTTAAACATTGTTTTATGTAAAGAATTAAATGAAACCCTGAAAACGGGGTTTGTCATTTCTCTCCATTTTGTGTTGCTGCCCTTGAAGGTGCAGTGTTGCTACTGACCTGGATTAGGCTACAAGGAAACCCCCTTGCATTACCACTGCCAAACTTTCCAGTGAGCTGGAATTTAAGTACTAATGGCGGTCCTGTGTCCATTTCATGTCCTTATTCATGGAGAGCCATGGACTTTAACAAATGTAAATCCCTATAAATAGTTCTGAATGCCACCTCAGGAGAAGCATTGAGGCCAGAAAGCAAAGGGGGGAGAGGCTAGTTCATCATTCTTCATAGGCACACATTCTTCATACAGCATCATTGCTGTAAGGCTGCATATCAGCAAGAATCAGTAGACTGCCTGAGTGTAGAGTATTTTACCAATCCAGTGATTAGGCATGAATTTCCACCCCCAAAGAGTGGCAAGATGGAATAATAAACCTCAGAGGGAAAGGTCCCCTGGGCTATGTTGGTGATTAATTAGCATGTATCTTTTGTCTTATTACCGGATTGTAGTTTTAAAAGATGTGCATCACCTGATACAAGCTGCAAATTGCTTTATAAAATTAACAATGGCATTTAGTAGAAGGATTAGTCACTACCCATTTTAATCT